ACTGCTGGTATGTTATATAACCAGGCTTCTCTACCTGGTTCTTCAAGTCGCGATTTGTGTACCGTGGTGACCCAGAGACTAGAAGAAGGTGGTAAAAGTCTCCAGCTAGCATAACACTTCTTCCGCCGAATCACCGTTCGCTGTCCCCTACAATCTTTCGGCACCTTATATCAACCCGTTGACCTGCTGTTGCTTTAGGAAAATGGTGTCCTCATAAGTGGACAGAAAGGCGTATTTCATACCAGCCAAGCGCATGTATTTGGCAATTTGCCCTTACTATAGTCAGTATTGGGTTTATTCAGTAAGCCCCATGTAGCAGGCTCTAGGCACTAAAGACTGGGTTTGGTTCAAGTCCGGTGCCACCAGTGTGGAATGTTCCTTACACTTCTGCTTCATGCAGCACCAAAATGAGGCGGCGTTCGAATGCCTCCTAACTGTATCATGGTTGGCATGAAAGATTGTACAACTGGTGGTTAGACAACAGGTACCTAGCCCCTTTTCTTTCCCTTTCCCAGGTCTCTGAGTATAGTAATGTTGTGGACTAAGTTGAACATGATGAACTGCCAAATGCTATACTCGATCTTGACACCGATGTAATCCAGTAAAGCAGCCAGCTTGATGGTGAATTCCTGAAGGGAAATCAGAGTCTCAGAGCTCTTTGTCGCTGTTTCTTCGGCGGGCAGTATCGGATGTCTTCGTCGCGGTCGCCGGGCTAGTACTCTAGTCGTGATGGTTATAGCCCGGGCTTGGTTGTCATCTCCTAGTATAAAAATTTGTTAATGTAAGGCCTGTCCGAGTACAACAAAGCCCAGCCTGTCTGGAACCGATGTACATGCCGCTATGCCCCAGTTTTGTCGTCGTGTTGCTCCAGCGAGCGGTCTTCGTCGTTATTTTGCTGGCCGCCACACACGTAAGGGAGTAGCTTTCTGGTCGCAAATTGGCCTTGTAAATTGAGGTGCGTTATATGCCACTTCCAATGCGCCCATAATATTTGATGAAAGGTCCAACGAGCAAAACAGCAGTTCTCAATCCACAGCTTTTTTTTGATTAACCGCAAGAGCCCTGGAGGGGAGGTGAAAAGGTCTGAGTGTAGTACTCTTCTATTGCATCTCCAAATGGTGGTTCAGGAACCAGGAAGGAATTCATTTGATCACAAGTGCATTATCAAAAGCCATGTTGTTCGGTGGTACTGGTAGTCGCCTGATGTGTTTGGCTAAAAGCAAGTAGAACTGAACACTCTGATCGTTCTTGCTCCATCCCTGCCTGAGACGGATCTCGTGTTTCGAGCGCAGCATAAGATTTATCGGCGGGCTTTTGTCTATAGCAATCACGCCGCCATCTATGGGTGCTAGTTTGGGCGGGAACAGGCTATATCGGGCAGTCTTCCGGCCGGCCATTTGGATCTAGGTATGCTTCTTTTACTACCAGAACCCGTGATCGTAATGTAACCATGCTCCCGATGCTCTTTGGCGTCTGGCCAATACTCACTGAGCCGTAGAATGCTCCTGAGCCGGTCCTACTTGTGCTTCAAACTTGCAGAGGAGCAACGGAATTGGGCTTGCACTTCCGGTGTTGTCTTTGACATGGGCAGCAAACACTGTACTCCGTAGTCAAGTATAGTCTTTTTCTACATCTGTATCGGGGATTTCGAGTGTAGGTAAAAGCCAATGCTCGAGGTACTCCCATACCGGCTAGTCTTCCACGGATGAGAGCTTCAATATTTACGGAGGGCGTGGTGACTATATTGGATCTGGCGAGAAGGAGATCTAAAATTCAAATTGTTGAGAAGAGGTGCCAGGCGTGGGACAAAAAAGGCTTACCTAGCAACTGAGGTATATCCCGTATATGGGAATAGTGTAGCTGCCACCGCGCCGCGCCCCCTTTTTCTGAATGTTGAAGTAGATTTCTTCAACCTCTTTCTTGGTAAGTCCGATGCCTCCCACTTGCAATGGTCGCATTCGAGTGTGTCAAACTCAGCTACCCCTTCCTCGGACCTTCTGACGTTCCCCGGCAATTAGAAGCATAATGCGCTGTTTCCGCGCGCCCAGGGCGCCTTCGCAGAGTCGCTTGGATGGCGATGGGCGGACGATCGTGGAAGGCTCTTGTCTGTCGGTAGGACCAACAAATGCAGGAATATCGGGGGATGAGGAGGCGATAAATTAACTTCGGCGGAGAAGAACCGGCCATCGTAGACAAGTTGGCTGGGCTGTTGGCCTGACAATCTCTCCATTTTTCTTAGTAATAAAGCTGGCTTTTGCACAGGCTAGGCAAGGCACTTAGTAAAAAATCTCCTCAAGGTTGTCATCGTCCTGCGTACTTGATGAGCGCCGTCGTTGCCCTGGCTGGGCAATACAACAGGGGCATGATAAAAGACATGCAGTCCGTGCTACACCAGAATCGCTCGGGCCAGCATGCCATCTCGCAGTCAGCTGAGGCGCAGATTCAGATTTGTCCAATCGTCCATCTACTTGCCGCTCATGTAGTTGTTGAAAGCGGCCACGAAACGCTCATTCTTCTCGGGTTCGTAGAAGTTGGCAGAAATTATGCTGTAGAGTTGCAGCCTGCGGATAATTTATTTCCGAATTATGGGAGTCTATGAGAGTACCATCCATGGACTTGACTCTACCCTTGCGAAAATAATCAGAGGCCTGGTTGACTTCAGGACGGACAGGGAAGACTACTAACACCAAAAAGCTCTACATATAAAAGAAGACACAGGAAGACAGGTCCCAATACCTAGTTTGGATACGGCATGATCTCTCTGGAACAATTCGCGATTGTCGCATGCCTACTCTTGCGCGAGGCACGCACAAGCCCATGGTTGTTTGAACCGCCGAGGATAAACAGTTAATGGTTGGGCCTAGTGGATAGAGTCACGACCTTGGTGAGGTTAGTCTGCTATAAAAAGGGTGCTTCAAAACCAGATTGTCGGTAGAGCTTAATATAGTAGTATAAGTGATTAAGGATTTGGTTGAATTCAGCTAGAAATCGGCATGGCCAGCAAGGCGAACTAAGGTTTGGTGTTTTCAGGAAACCAAAGGATCAAGAGCCAAGTGATGCTCTTCAAGACCCGGTGCCAGAAAGGCGCCTTTCCTGAAGCAGTCATGAGAAAGAGATGTTGTTATCTTCAAGCGCAACCGAGACATCCCTTTCAATGAGTTAGCATGGTGGTGGGAACATTGAAACAAGTAACACGGGCTACCTCAGCTACCTAGGTATTCTCGCGGGGTTTTCTCCCAAACAACTAGAATATCTCTATTCTTACGTGGATACCCGCTGCGTATTCCAGGAAGGCAAAGTACAAAAAGCTGCCCGCACGTCCCTGACTAGTCTGATGATGCAGTCTGATTATGATGTTTGAGCATATGCGAACATCGTACCTAAGTCCACTGGGGCTAATATTTTTGAGTGGAATCTTGGGAACTATTGGCTTAGAGCATACATCTGGGGTCATCAAACCAACCAGGATATCCTCATCAGAGGTGTTGTCCCACTCATGGGCTTCGCCCATGGGTGTATCCATGATGTTTGTGAGTGGATTACGGTTGAGAAAATTAATGTGCGCAGGAGATTGCCAACCTGGTCACGGGGCCTCTGTCTGTTCCACAACTGTTTTAAAGTCACAAGCACCGTACTACGTCCTTTGCCCTGAAGCATTGGGCCCGAGAGAGGAGGGGCGCTGTAATGCCTAGGGTGGGAGTTCACAATATATTATTGGCGATTAGGCAACACATTTGCCCAAGGACAGGCATAGCGGTGGCCAAGGCCCTCCGCTAGCAACCAAGCGTTGTGGTTATTGTTATTAACAAGGTCATTAAATGTGTGATCGAGGTGACCACCAAACAGAGGACCAAACTAGAGCTCTCCACTTGACTCGAGGGGCAGCGCAACGCTCTTGTGGCCATAGAACAAGAAGCCGTCTCCATCTATACACAAGGCCGGAAGTTCGACGCTTACCTCTTGTTCTTAAATAATGTATATAAAGGCTTTAATAAATAAATCTTGTTTAATGGGATCTTCTTACCACCATCAGCAATCCACCTATCAATTTCCCTGTTAAGGCACGACAAGATGTATTAATGGCAAGCGGCGCAGGAAAGCTAAATCTGCATTTCCTATTTTCTATGCAATACCCTGGAGTGCATCTATGTTCTTGAAATTTATTGACAAGCTCCCCGAGCCGCTTGATGGTCCCTTATTATTCATGTAATGGGATGGTCCCTACACTCACTCATTGCTCTCCGCGAGTATTTTCACTATCATGAACTGTTATTGTTAGCCCAGAAAGTCTGATATTTCAGCGCCCTATGTGTTGCTTGAATTGATATTAGCACGAGCAATGGGGGATACTGGTGAGAGCTGATAAAAATCCCCTGCTAGTATGACATTCCGGCCACCAAAGCACCTTTGCGTGTCCCCAAACATCTCGCGACATCGCATATCCACCCAGTGAAATATGAGCAAGTTATTTATTGATTTCTCATCAATTATAATATAATTGACATGCTCAAGTTGTTTTTTTTTTTCACCCAGTGTAGCTTGCTGTTCAAAAGCTCCGAGTACTCGGGGCTAAGTTTTGTTGGCAGCTAGAATAGGCTATACAGGGGTTTACCCCTGATTCAATGTGCCGCAATTCCAGTCAGTGCCACCCTAGCAACTGGGAATTGTATATTCTCCCCAGTTGCATTTTGCAGGCTTCATCTCTAAGATCTCCCGAAATGATGGTGAGACGGTCCCCTTGTACAGCTGTGAGCTGGGTGTATTGCTTTCACTATTACTGATCTCTGGCCGGACGAACCTGATATAATAAAGGTTACCAGCTGTTCTGATAATTATTTACCATAGCTAGGTTATTATTACCAGACAAACTTGTTGCTCTTTCACGCGTCGGAGCAATGTGGATTAATTTTGTGCTTGTAAACCACAACGTATGGTTAAATAATCCAAATGGAAACCAGAGGAATACTTGGAATTGTACGTAACAACAGGGCGTTTGTTACCTAGGTAGGTCTAGGGGAGACACCACCCGTGTAGGTTGTGAGACAGGCTTCTGCGGATGCGCAAAAGCCGACTGGGTTGGGAACAGTCGAAGGCTCAATGCCGTCAAGCTCCTGAGGACTCAATACGATCCACATTCGTGCCTTCTTATCCCAGCGTCTAGTGATTAGGATGGTGACGAGGCTAAGAGGAGTGAATGAAAGAGGGTGGACGACAGTGGCGTGCCGATGCTTTGGGTCGTCCTTATGCGCGGGGTACAGAGCCATGATACACTCTCTCCTTGGCACGTTCACTGTAATAAGCAGAGTCAGCAAGGTATGGTAAGCTCCTGGAAAATGGATACTGGAAAAAAGGCACTGCTTACATCCCGCGTCATTTCTCCGCGACCTGTTCCTGGGCCAACGTGGTACCTAGAACCCTTGAGCCACCAAAGGCATAGTTTCTGCAGGCTTCAGTTTGCTTGTGTAAACTCTACCAGCGAGCCACTCGGAATCAGGTTGAGGAGGGCTTCGGGACAACCAGGATAGGCGACGTTGTAGCCATGTTTAAAAAGGGCTGGAAGGGGGAGGGAGCGGACTTGGTACCGCCCGGTAACGGGAACAGTACCCTACTCCTTAGAGAGTTTGATTAGATCTCTCACCTCGCTCCGTCCCAGTATGCCATCTTATTCGTTCAGCCTGTGCAGGAGCTGGGGTGGGATAGAATAAATAAATCCAACGGCGGGTCCCGTAACCGTCCCGTCTGGCTCTCGGTGATATCCGGGATGTAATCATCCATAAATATGTATTAATCATGACCTCTGAATGTTGGTACACCAGGCTGCTCCAGAGGGAGGGTCCACATCGGGGCCGTCTGCCCCCTAGGAAATCGGGGGAAACGCTGGGTCCATGAATGCTTGGTCCTCGTCAGCAAGATGATCTTCGTTTGCCACAACGTTCGGTCACCTTCGGGCTGCTGAGGGGAAGGACTTGGACCCGCTCTCCATCAACGCGGGCAATGTTGGCGACAGTGACCGCGTTCAACAGCATGGCATGGATAGGTGCATTGTCAAGCACCGCCCCTCTAGAGGATTCGGCCATCACCGTTGCTACCTAATCTTGCGGCTTGAGATCTAGACCAGGTATTGCGTGGTGAGCGGCCAGCTGGCTCGGGCTGGTAAGGTCGGGTTCCTTGCCCACATGCCTCTTCAAAATGGGAAAGATAAGGTCCCTAGCTGCTGCATATGGCCCGGAATAAGCGTGTTCCATGGGCCGTATGTTCGCATGTGGAGGTATGACTTGGCGTTACTCTTCCAGTGCTCAGGTACTGGATGTAGTGTTCCCCGATAGTGGCCACGGTCAAGCATATCGACCAAGATGTTCATGCGGCGTCCGCTCCTTGACCGCGCTTTTGCGCTGCCAAGGCACCTCGGGCGGGTACGAACGCATGTGATTTTGTTGATAGATATTGGTGTTTTTGCTCCTTAACGTCTGGTCCACTGATTCCAGCAGGCTAGCCAAGCTTGCAGTGCCATTTGCCATTGACTTAGGAGAGTATTTTTGACGCCTCCTGCATTGTGACCCCTAGCTTGAGCTGCTCCCTTTGTAGGTCCTGCGCTTGCTTCACGGTTACTATTACCCTGCAGCTATGGTACCAGTCCGGGGCCAGCTTAGCCGCAGCTGTACGGGCCATGGGTGATGTTCGAGGTCGCTGGGTGCACCTTCCTGTCTTTCATTTTTTATTAACCTCCCATGAATCTGCCATTTGGTTGTTCTATTGGTCCTTGTTTGGGGCCCAACACGCCATCAAAGACAAAGGAAACGCTCACTATCTTGGTGATCATGCTTAGTCTTTAATGCATTGCCCCTGTGATGGATGCGGCGGCGGCGTGTGGTTTAATCGTGTTCCACGCGTACCCATAAAATCCGTCATCTAGAATAATTAGATAGCGACATCTAAGGAGGCTGGAGCAGAATAATAAGAAGTTAAATGCCAAAAAGTTGCCAATTGCAGCATAGAAGCCAGCGCGTCATCCATAAACTTCTAAAAGTTATAGTATTGTGTTAAAGGGTAATTATTTGGCGTCCATTGTAACCGCACTTTTCTTTTACCAACGCATGCAGCAACAGCGCAGCGTTCTCTGTTCATGCTCTTCTGCATTCTGGCTGCGCTGCATCTTGTGCTCGTCGAAGAAAGGTAAGACGGGATATAGTAAAATGGCTTTCTCGCAGTACAGGTCCATTCCACCTTCCCACTCTAACGGACTGGGAGTATATTTACCCTTGGTTTGCGGCGCAGCTCGCAAGAGGGGAAGAAGACTGCTTTGTCCACTCACCTTGACTCACTGAAATCAGAAATCCCTGTGTCCGCGGTAGAGACAGTTGTTACACTTCTCCCCCAATCTTCCAGAAATGCCCCGCTCGAGGAAAGTCCGGTCCTTTGGATGAACGGAGAAGGACTATCTGGTTGGATTGCAGAATGATGTCCTTTCTCTGGATGGCATGCTAATCCTTTATCTGGAGATTTACTCCTTGACAACGGCTAGACTGCTCTAGCATGGTAACAGCCGTAGCAGACTAACATGGCAGTAACTGTTGCCTTGAAAAAAGTAGGTATTTATGAGGTTTGCTGCATGATGACTCCCTGTTAATTTGCTACCTTAGCACGGACTTGCCTTCGACCTTTAAACTATTCTCTTCATCAGTTAGGATAAAGAAGAAGGGAAAGTGTCTTATTTCAAAACAAAAGACCAACAAAGTGTCGTGCGGCACAAGGCCGCCGGACCCAAAAAAGCTAGCTATATGGCATAAGGCCACAGACAAGAGATATAAAAAGCCTGTAAAGGGCATAAACAAGAGATATAAAAAGCTCCTAGGGAGCCGCGTTAAGAATAACCACGATGTTGAAATTATTTTAGTTAAAGACATTTTTGCTGTAGAGCTTATGGTAGCCTTCGTCGAAATTAACAAGAGCCTTTTTATTAGCTTAATAAAGCTTATTAATTGCGCGAGGCCGGAACGAAGTGGTGGCCCGCGCAGGCCGTAACTTACGTCTGTTGGTGCATCGGGCACCCGAACTACCTTTCCAATGACAGTTGGAACAACTGCCCCCAAAGTGGCCCGGCACGGCAACACAGTCAACAAACGGCCCGTGGCCTTGGGCGCAGTGGCCGCAGACCATATCCCCCTTCGTGAGCATGCCCACAACCTGCCCAATGGCGGCTTCTCGGTTGACGGGGCGGGCGGCGATCTTCTTCATGATATCGGATTCGTCATCAGTATTTATTATTTACCCTTACTGCTCTTCTGCCATCCAGGGCACTGTGGTTCATGTATTTCAAGGGCTAGGCTCACCTAACGAATCCTGACCACGCCTGTGCAGGGAAGTATCCTCTATCTGCGCCCATGCGAGGCCGGCACCATGTAGCGCAGGACCACAATTTGCAGCTTCTGAGCATGCAGGGTCCAAAGGCTTGAGATGAAAAGCTGCATTTAACTGCGCCGATCCAACTGTTTACTTCGAGTTTTTTTGGATTCTCATCGCAAATTAAAAGAACACCCAACTAAAATACCTGGAAAAGATGGTCCGCGCCAGGAGGCTATTCGTGGAGACCAACACGTATGACTGGCTAATAACTATTTCTTGTATGGTCTTTTGAAGTTTTCTTAACCAGTTAACCTCTTCCCCTTCCAGTTGTTAACTTTATTGAATTCAACATTGGCGGGGAAAATATTACAAAGTATATCTAATGGAAGATTCCTCGTGAGCGTCAGGCCAGTGTTAATAATTGGATTTCTATGCCTTGACAATTGCCTGGGCACGCACGCTTCGGTCTTGCCATATATACAGCATGATTTGGTTGGCTAGTGCACTGTTGCTGATTTCCTGTATTATAAATTACCTATAATAAGTTTATATAGCAAAAGCTTATAAGGGCCTTATCCTTTTTATCATTTTTACCCTTACCTATAATAGCCTTAAAACTTTTGCGCTATTACAGGCGGATACTACTAAACTTATAATCTTTATTTAGGGTATTATTAAAAATAGTGGTAATATAAAAGTAAAAGTTAGGCAAGGCATCCAGGAGCTGGCAGGCCCTGTTATATTTAAGCGTTAGGTTGTGCCTTGCTAGGTTAAAGTCTTGTTTATGCAACACAAGGATTATTCTATACAGGATAAATTGGTCCTTGGATGCTTTAGACGCCGACTTTAGGCCGGGATGGTCAAAAAGCGACATGGTCGCCAAGTTCATAGGGACTCTTGCGGCGGCAGTGGCCCATTCGCGCGCTGTGCTGGGAAAGGGCAGCAAGTAAGCCATCAGTCAGTTTGAGCGAGCAGGAGCCGATGGGCGTTCCATTTCTTCCCGGAGAGTATCGACCCACTGCGAAATACTTGGCGGGACTCGCTGACACTTGCATGCATCCGATGATGGGGAAACCATTTAGGGTAAGACTTTTGAATGCCTTTGCCTGAACCCCAGACACACAAAACCAACACAACGCCCACCAGGGCACCCACCCCCACACCGAGCACGAACGCCAACCAGACAAAAACTCCCAACAGCGCCGTGGCGCAGCACGCACCCAACTAGAACAACGTGGATCTACGATAGGGCTAGTGATATAATACATGGCAGATTAAATGTGCGAACACACACTTAGCGGCATAAGCCGCGCCGGCACGGAAGGAAGTCATGGCTGCCAAAGCAGCGGTGATGTGTGGCCCGAAGGCCCGGACGAGAACTACACGCAATATTAGTACAGGCAATTCCACGGCTGGTGCTTGGTCTTACCCTCTTTATATCACGGAGCCCAAGCGTGGCACATTGGCGAAGGATAGTGGGGGAGTTAGATGGCTTTGGGCATTCCACGCACTCAGGGCCTGGACATGCGCAACGTTCCCCGTGGTTATGGGTTTGGTCGTTCTCGTCCGGCCAGGCACAGTGCTGGCACCAATACCTTTTTCCACTGTGAGTTGTCGTGTAGAGTTCTGGCTTTCTCCTTAAGCAGCGCAGATTCTAGGGCCTTATAGAGGGATGACGACATGGAACTTCCAAAGGAACTGAAAGCTGGGGAGCTGAAAGATGAGGAGGTGAAAGTTGAGGGAACTTCGCAACCCTACATAATCCATTGGAAGAGGCAATTATGGTTCTCCCAAGGGACAGTAGATACCATGCCATACGTAAACCACCAACCCAACCGCCCTGTAGGACCATCGATATCAGTCTCGGTAAGTTGGAAAAGAGCAATGCAACGTTTTGTGATATGTCCGAGGCACTTTCTAGAGTAGATACCGGTAACAGGTAGCTCTGCGTTCAACCACTCAATCAGACCTCCCTGGTTCGCTGCATGTTGCAGTAAGGCACCAATCGAACCCTGGATTTGGCCTCTCCTAGGTGCCACCTGGACATGATCAAAAGCAGCATAATCGGGAGAAACGTCACTTCAGTTGAAGCAAAGTTTGCCTGTCCGCATATGGTACGAAGAAATCGCATACCCTTGCCTACCTAACGATCTTCGCGCAGAAAACGCTAGATCGGGCAATGCCGAAGGGGATGCAGGTTCCGCTGGTGGAGAACCCAGGATCTATTGGGTTGTTGTTAGATTGGCTGGATACTGGATGCTCGACTGTAGATAAAATAGATAGGTACCCATCCATGCATGCGAGTGGCTCTTGTTGGACGTGACCAACACACGCAAGACAGAGTATTTTCTTACAGACCAGCACCGCGGGACAGCAATTCCAAGTGGGCAAGCACATCACTGCAGGTGCTGTCTTTTACCCTAAGGTTGAGTAGGGCAGCCAGATGGCGCAGCAGTTGGTTCCATCCACTCCAAAGAGCAAATATTGCCGATACAGCTGGACCTGGGTGCTTCTCGCGGTGGAGCAAAACCACGTAGGTAGTTGACTGCAGACGCCAGATGGCCCGAGTTGGACATACCGTGGACTTGCGTGGGTCGGGATACAATAAAGTGCGGACAATTATCCTTGTTGAACAGAGTACACGCCCTTCGGTGCGATTGTGCATTCTTCTGGCCCTTTATTTGCTTGCTCTTCCTTCACCCTCTCATATTTGGGATCTTCACCAGCCATTCATTGCGTCTCTGTTGCACCGACCCTTCCTTTACGTAAAGACCATGCTAACCTTGAGCCAACGAGTTAGCCGTACCATGCGCACGCTTGTTGCTACCGGCGGGGGCAGCGGGAGCGGTTGAAGTGAATATGGGAGTGGTCAGCCCAGGTGAGAAGGAGCGGCCAGACAAGTGTTCTCTTACTCGCTAGCTGTTGGCCCCTTCGTCCTTCTGAGCCTCGTGTCCCGTTCTAAAGCATCGAGAGACTTTGACTCTTTGCGTTCTCCGTGACACTTCCCTTGTCTTGGACCGGTATGATTTCAGCCCACGAGTGCGCCCTGATACGCTGAACCTCACGGCGGCGCCAACTTCCTGACATCCTTTGCTGTTATGGTCTGCTCCTGCAGCTCTCTCGTGGCATTATAATTCCCTCGGCTCTCTGTCCTTGTTTTTAACGAGTGACTGCCTAACTGACAGCTACGGTGGTACCTGGTGAAATTGCTATAATCCACAACACGCAGTTGGCACAGTGCGTGCTTTCTCACCGCCAGAAAGTGTACATGATGCTGTTAGATTGAGGCCCGTCAGAGTCAGGACTGTTAGAGTTAGGACCGTTAGAGTCAGGCCCGTTAGAGTGAGGACCATTAGAGTCAGGATCGTCAGAGTCAGGACCGTCAGAGTCAGGACCGTCGGAGTCAGGACCGTCAGAGTCAGGACCGTCGGAGTCAGGACCGTCAGAGTCAGGACCGTCGGAGTCAGGACCGTCGGAGTCACCGGGTATGCCCTCGCCATTCCATATCATGGGTGGCAACGAAAGGTCCCACTGGTATGCGACTTGTCAAGCGTCAGCATGTTCAATGGTATTATGGCTAGCTGCAAAACTTCGTCTGGGATTTTCTGGAAGATTGTGGTGTGTTATAAAGTGCTAGGGGAATGAGCTCGTTCTACCATACCTACCATGGCCGGTTATGGACTTCTCTAACGCCATCATTGCCGGTTACTGCTTGAAATTCTCTCCCTTGACCTCTGCCTGTTAAGAATGCTACAAGGATGAACCCTTAGCATATGGGACATTGTTAATGTCACCAACTATTACGGCCTTCTCCGCGCGAAGCTAACGACTAGGTATAGTATGGGATCATGGAAAACAATATGGTAACTGGGAGCTTAAACGAGCAAACCATCCGAGTTGCCTTTATTATTAGCCCATTGTGGAGAGCAGTTCGGAACATTCAAACCCCCAATATTTGGGCTCATTCTTTACTTTGTTCAAATGCATTATTTAAAGCGCTGCGGGCACAGGCTAGGTGATCTCCTTGGTGCCCCCGGACTTTCCTTGCTTTAGGTGCGGCACTAGGTGGGATTCTCTGGGGAACGCACGGCATTCCAATGTCGTCCATCTTCGTTGACGAAAACATTCCATGGGCCGTAGGTTCGCATACGCAAATGGGCATTGGGCCATCTCTATTTGTACACAAGGCCGGAAGTTTAACACTCACCCCTTGTTCTCGAATAGTGTATATAAAAGCTTTAATAAATAAATCTTGTTTAATGGGGATCTTCCTACCACTATTAGCAATCCACCTATCGATTCCCCTGTTGAGGCACGACAAGGCAAGCCCCAACTCGTCATCGTGGAGATAATCGACGTATTCTGGTCACTATGGCCATTGATTTGAGAAGGGGATGTGTACAGGCAAGGCACTTCGGCGAGCTGTTCCATTCTTCTTTCGATTAGCTGCATGTATCCTTCAGTGCCACCCGGGGACTTGCCCTGGTGCCATAAGAATCAAACCCTAGAAGGCGGTACGCAGAGGGGAACGGCCGCGATGAGAACTTTACCTATCTCACTAGCATGCTTAGTAATTTCCTTTAGATTTTTGTTTCTGATGTGTTTTGATACCCTATAATATAATAACTCCGTGGGGTTATTAATGTTGTGCTGTAAGTACCAGTCGCTTCAGCTCTGACATTCAAGGCAGTTACCGGAGTAAGAGCTGCAGATACTCTTTGAGAACGAATCGTGGTATTTGAGGGAATAATAAAATCAGACGAAGTGTTCTCAGCTTGAGGCCAGGGGGGTTAAACGGGTCCGTCTTCTGGGGGCGAAGCGGACGTGTACAGGATAAATTGGTCCTTGGAGGCTTTAGATGCCAACTTTAGGCCGGAATAGTTAAAAAGCAACATTGTTGCCCACTTGTCCCCACTAAGTCTTTAACTGATGTACGATTTGAAGACATGGCGCAGACGACGCTTATAGTGGCAGGTTGCATGAAACTAGAACCTCTGATTCAAAAAATACCACTAATATAACGTCATTGCTGGTCTGTTGATGAAGCTTTATTCGAAACAGGTTGCATGCTATGTAGCATGGCAATGGTTGTATAAAGAGAGAAGAAGGTTGCGCGGTGTTTTAATGCGTGGACTGTTACCAGTATTAATGGCAATTATATTGAATATTTAGAGAATTTTCCTGGTGCACACCTAGCATGCAAACGGCATTCCAACAGGGAATTAGTAGTGCTAGGCACCATAGGACTGCGACTTGATACTTCTTGCGCCTACCGGACTCGCGTGTGTTGCGCGGCTGGGAAGGATAATGGACTGGGGGTGATACTTCGACACTGTTTAGAATGTTGGCTTTAGTATCAAGAGGGTTTCTGGGCACGGGGGACACGGCGTCGGCCACCGCCACGATTGCGACGGCCCTGCTGGGGAGCTGGATTGTTGCTCTCCAAATATCTCACTGGTGGCGTGCTGTCGGTCTTCCTTGCTCCATTCCAACGCCACTTGATTCCAGCCCGCACCCACGTGCAATCGCATTTTCCATACTCGTGTTAGAGGAATCTACCTGGGCGATGGTAGCAGTTATTGAATCGGTGTTCTTTGTAGATTTACCCGGCCCATCGCTTCTCTTGCCTGCCGGAGTGGTGATAGGAGTAAGGTGGTTGTGGAACTTGCACTGGTTGGATAGTGACAGCTGTCTCGCACAACATGTGCACACTCTATCTGCTAGAAGATGCATTGTGTCCTGTATTATTCAGAGTCATAGCTAAGATTTATACTGTTTAGTTTCCCTGTACTTAAAGTATTAGTAGTGGACTGGCTCGGAATATAAAGGTAAGTATAGATAGTTTTCTGTCGAGCAATACACCACAATGAGTGAGATGAACCTCACTCATATTGATAATCAGGTCGGAAAGCTCGGAGGCTTGATACTATAACCAAAGCCAGACAGAGGCCGCGCCGGGACGGAGGGAGATCATGGCTGCCGAAGCAGCGGCGAAGAGCGGTCCGAAGACCCAAATAAAAGCAGCTATAATAAGTTAGCAAACTAAAACATGATAGTACTGCGAGGCGGGTATTAACTTACACGAAATATTATTATTCTTGTTAGGGGGTACCAACCTGCGAAGCAGTATTAGACAAGGGTGCAGCCATGCTTTTAGGGTTAACCACCTGCGCGTTATTAACCGCGGTGGTTTACACAACAGCCGCTTTAAATATATTACAAGCTGCTTTTAAGGTAGTAATGTTTTTGCAAACGCGTGGATTACTAGCTCCCACATGCACGGTATAAATAGTATTAAGGATATCTCGCAGCTTGTTGCTAACTAGGGCAACGTTAACAGCCTTGCAAAATTTAAGTGCCCTCTTGCTGTTGCGACAGTGCCCATTGATAGGAGACTAATCCAAAGTTTTATATGACGGCAAGGAAAAGGACTCTTGAACACGGCGGTAGACATAGGTAGAAGCCTCTGGTCTGCTCGGTCTCCTTCAATCGGGACAGCCACATTCACAGTCTCGATTTTCCCTAGTTTCTTGGTCTCTTGTGTCTTCTTGTCCCTTCTCTTTCTTATGTCGCGAGATTGCCCATGGGCATTTTTCCTAGCAGCACAAAGGAGCTTGTCTGCTTCCGGGTCTTTTTTCTCGACGCATGCAAAGACATGAGTCTCTGGCGAAAGAATAGCTGGTTGAATTGGGTATCATGCCAGGGGGGTTTCAGGTCCTAAACAGAACTAGACCTAGCTTGCCCGGTCTGAGTTGGTGGCTAGCAACCCTCCATTACTTGTGGATCTATATTTGCACATGCACGCTACCTATTATACTGCGAAGGCCTGGTGTATGAAGAGTCTTAAATAGTTTCTTCCTTCCACCTTGCAGACCCAACCGTTGTTTGTCCGCTCTTCCCAACGGTTGAAAACCGCTTACATTTGGGAATGTTAGGGTTATCAGTCCTAGCTTCTTCTGGACAGGGTGTCGCTAAGTCTTGCATATAGTCACTGAGGAATAGGTCCATACTTTGAACTCAATGACCTTGCTGTTTTCTGCGTTTCTGATGACCAGAGAACCTAATCAAACTCGCGCTTCCCTAGCACATACCCGCGGTGGAGCTCTCTACCTCTTGATCTACCTCCAGAGAGGTCCTACTGTTCAGCCATGGGATCGTCCGTATCCCGGTCGTCATCATATACCTTGGCTGCGCCAGCCAGCCAAAGCACAGACCTCAGGCGATTGAGTGTCCAATTCATATATACAGTTTCGTTAACAGGAGAGGCCACATTTGTAGGTGTTGGTATGTAGCGTGGCTTCCGTACTTCCCCTCTGTGTATCCGGTTGCCCTACCGATCTTATGGAGCCGCTGGCCACCTTGGGGAGCCCCATGGCAAAGTCATCAAGTTGAAGATCATAAATCGCGCTCCCGAGGAAGAATACCTCCAGAGGGGCACAAACCCACCGTGGGCAGAGCACTTCTCCGATGGCTGTGCAGACAGGCAAAAGTAGATCCTCGAGGCGAGAGATGCTGCAATGTAGGTAAGATGGGTCTGTAGCGTTGCCCCCGGTCGTATAAAAGGCGCCCGCCCTGCGTATAAAACGTGAGTCCCGAGGTCATGCCGTCGCTTTCCGTTTCAAATAAAAAACCAGCAAACAAAGAAGAACTTGAGCCAGGATGCGGAGTCCGTTACGTGCGCCGGCGAATGTCGCAGCCCTAACGCGCCAAGACTTCACGCCAAGTCCAATTCCAGAGTCACAAGTCAAAACTATGCTCTTGACAGGAAGAAAGAGTAGCGCAAGATAGAAAAGCCTATGGCGGTGGTTATAAGTATAGAAAAAGGTAGTTAAGTCAAGAGCAAAGTGGCCACATCTACCAGACGCCCTTGTTTATAGTTTACCGGCAGGTAGAGTGCATGGCGGCTGCAGCCCCAGCGCATCTGCAATCTCCATAGTGTGCCCTGCGTGATTCCACGACATCTCAGTTTCTAGACAATTTATGTGCAACTCGATACGCCGGACGGAAAGAGACGCCTGGGGCGGAGGCGGAGGCAGAAGAGCAGGAGACACCTCGCGAGCAGGCACCTTATTTGTAGCAGAACACTCTATAGTATTCAGGCAGGGTCCAGGGAAGAGAATGCTTGCGGGTTAAGGCGGAAGTGGTTATAATTATCTTCCTTAATGTTACCTCTGTGTGCGAGGAGAGTTTGGACAAGTGAAAGGCCCACTCTAACCTCCCAGTTACCATGAACAGGCCAAGAAGAATCCTTTTCATCTGGAAAGGTCTCGCTGAATAAGGAGGTTTTCGCACAACTCCAGCTCGAGGTCACGCCGGACCAACCGAGCCCGGGAAAGTGGGTATTTGGTTTCCAGGAGATCAATGACATACTCGATTTTCATTGCGACGCGCCGCAGTAACGATGCACATTGCGCACCGAGGCACGTGAAGGTTGAGCGGCAAAGCCACGAGAGCGACGGCGGGGGCCGGGGCCGGGGCCGGCGGAGGAAAAACACCAACAAGATCCCCATTAGCGGGGGCGGCGGGGGCAGCGGTGGTGGCGGCGGTAGCGGCGGGGGCACGCAAATAATAAGATTAAGTTATTTTAATAGCTAGTATATTAGTAATTATTAATATATAAGCATGGGCAGGGGAATATAATCCCTATATATTAAAGGTAAAATAAAAAGTAAAGGCTAAAACCAAGGCTTAACTAC